CACTACATAGAAAATTTGGCTTTGTCATTTTTCTTGTGATCCGAAAGTACTTAGAAGTGTCAACGTACTCGGAATTGCTTGTGTGCCTTCCTTTGTCACGGCGTGGTTGTCGTGATTTTTCACCACTTGTAGTATTCCCTTCTACGGAGCCTATTAGCGGAAACAGTGGTGAATTAGCACTGACCACAAAAGCTAGACCCTTGAGTGTTCTCTTGTGAGGTTCAAACGGGCTGTGAGAAAAAAGACTTCGGGTCCTTCAAAGCTCGGCCAGCGCCAACGGCCGAACTATGCTCTGCTAGTAAACTTGGTGACGTTGTTCCGTTGTTGGTCCAGCGAGTCACTTGTGTCATGACCCGTCCTTTTGAACCCACAGTACGCTACCCAGCATACCACGCCCCTTGGCGATCTTTTCCCATTCGTCCCAAAAGCGGAATATACATGATTCAAGTTCGTGGTCGCACTGAGCAGTGGATCTTCAGTTAGCCGTGTGTCAGCCGCTGCACCCTCCGCAAAGGGCCCTGCTGTTATATCCCTGGAGTGCCACTTCGAGGCTTGTGACCGTGTGATGTGTCAGTCCCAGATACACACTCGGGCACACGTGGTCGGTTCGAGTTGGGTGCTCTCGGCGCATTGCATAAGTTTGTCACCGCGTAATCCGGTTCCATCATACATTGCTCTCTTATAACTTATGAACAATCAATTCTTGTCACAGAACACCTCTCCGATCCACGATGGTTGGCACGCTGAGCAGCTTGAACACACGCCGAAGTCCGACGTTCTGGACGACTCTGGGGGCATAGGTGGTTAAAGATGGGCTGTCTAGAAGCGGTGACAGATTCGTTCCGGGGGCCATAGCATTGCGAATTACTGTAGCCGCTGGTTGCCATGAAGGCCTGTCGCTCGGCTTGGAGCGTCAGAGAGTACCGCTCTTCTGTCCAGTTAGCGTAGAGTTGTAACTCTAACCGTTAGCAATGTACTGTATGTAGGCCCAGGACTGATGCGTTACAACGCCAGTAAAGGAGCAGGTCCTGGATTCTTTCTTCAGGAAAGCGTTTGATATGCTCCTCTGCTTGGTCGGTCGTTAAGACAGGAAAGTAGAAAGGAATTGTGCAGGGCCCTAGAACGGCACAGGACATACTCTGTCAGGAGGATCAGGAGGAAGACACTGGCAAGGGTTGGTCTGAATCCAGCATCTGATTGTTTACTGTCGAAAGTACTTACCTTTTAGCAAAGACCCTTTGTTAGTAACGTGCACATCAGACAGCTGTTTGAATCGGCAGATTAGCCGCGCATGAGAGCACAGGTTTCTGCACTTGTCAAAAAAGGCGACAAGTGGGGTTAAAAAAGCGCAAAACCCAAGGCGTACCTTGAGATATCGTCTTGGCGGCCCCATCCCTCCTCCTCAAATTCACTACTACTGAATCCTATCAACTGCAAATCATCTACGACATCATATAGTCCATAGAAACGGACACTAACCTGAATACCACCGCACGTCCATGGAGCGTTTCGGTGTAATACCCGCGTCGTGGAGACTCGTAAACCGACATGCAGTGTTATTTTTTACAGAAACGCCACTGAGTCCTTTCTGCTGTTCTCCCAAAAGCCCGTATGCTAGATGTACCTTAAGTGGTATAAGAGTATGCATTACCAAACTCCAGCCACGCCCGGCATCTCCCCGGATGTGACTGTGCGCAAACCTAAACTCAGAACCTCGGTAACACTAGGCCAGCCTGACAAGTCACGCCCATCCGCTTGTATGACGAGTTTTGGATTCTGATCCACCTCCTGAGGGGGCGCGCAAGCACATCTGCAGTTATTTCTGTCCTTTTAAGCCTCAAGGGCCACTGGTCAGCGTCACTGTGCGATCCCAGCGCACCCATACTTGGTGCAGACAGGAAAATAGGCTGAAAATCAGCGGGAAGCTGTCAAGGATCTAAAAGTGCCCGCACGTTTGAATGCAGGAGAAAAAGGGTCTCCGCTTGGAGGCGGTTTTTTACGGGTGTGAGATGAGTCCAGGCGGTCGACCACTTACCTGCCCTAGCCTAGAGCCGGTTCCTGGATAGAAGCGCAACGATCCCGGACCTCACAATGTTTAAATCCGCTTTCAGGTGTGGATCATAAGGCAATGTCGAAGCCCTGCGAAACCAAGCAGTGGGCGAAGACGGAGCGCTCTGACTCGACGACATGCCGTACCAGATAATGTGCTCTCGTCAATCCACACTGAAACGAGGTTCTGATCCACCGACGTCTACGGTACAGATTGAAGTGTGGCGTTTGGTCCCGGGGCTACGCACTGCCAGAGGATCTGAGAACCGGCAACCTCACTGATCGGCCGCGTAGAGGTTGGGCGTTTCGGCTTAGCTGTACGTATTAACTCCCCGCCACTTAACTGTCCTGAAAGAACGTCAATAGTTTCCGAACACCAGAGGGTGATGTATGAGTGCACTTCGGCAGGTCAACCTGTGGTATTTGCCTCCGCGCCAACTTAAAATTGTTCTGTCAAAAGAAGCCCCGACAGCGTTTGCTAAGGCTTGCCCTGATTTACATCCGCGAAGCAAACGCAAAAGGTGTTTAGTGAAGGTGGACATCAATCTTCCCGACGTTGACTGGCAGAATTTTAATCCTGCGGCGCTTTAAAGTGTATGGCTACCGAGACTTCTCGAAGCAGGCCTTGCATGCTTCCCTCACCAATTT